TCCACCTTGATTGCGGTAGTTGCCAATCTTGTGCGGATGTGATGGTGTGAGAGAGAAAGGGGGACTGACGAGAGCTAGTCTTCACGAAGTCTCACTTTATCCTGTAAGGATGCGGCGCCCTGTCATTCCACCGCCTAGGCCAACGATTCGCTAATCGCTTGTTATTTCAGTCAGTGAAATATATGCTACCAGTGCATAAGTAGAAGGAAAGATTGAGCTTCCCTTTTCTTGAACAGTAGTGTACCAGCACTTGATAGGTGTGTCTGTACACTTCTTTTCTTCGGGTGAAGAAATAAGAGATGACCTCCATCAGTTCTTGTCTTTGTTCCTGATTGGTCTGCAGAAAAGCGGAAAGGAGCGGCAGAATCATGCAATGCTCGTTGGGACTGAGAGACTAGGGCAGGGACCATTGGAAGTGCAGGCTGTGCAGGGCAGTCATCGGGCGATTCGATAGATTCTTGCAAAATCCCAGTCAAACAGACGTTATTAGACAGCTACAAATAGAGTACAAGAGACATGACCCTTTGGGTCGGCTTTGGCGACCGGGCATTAACCAAGTACATTTAAGTTAGATCTGAGCAAAGTGATGGTTGGTTTCGTGCAAGTCAGCCTCTGGTCTTGGGCGGTGCATGAATGCGGGCTCATTATTACAGTCTGTTGAAACTCAGGCTTCTTTCGCTGACCGGGTTTCTACCTTTTTCCCCTCTTACATGTGATATGGTAAGTTTAAGATACCACATTTACCCTGAAGATCATGAGCCTTTCTAGTCGGCCGAAAAGCGAGACCGAACCAATAAGTCTGAGAATTGTTCATATGGGTGTTTTGTCTCCTCTGTAAGCTTTCGTCTGTTTAGTCGCTGTGATAAGTCGCTCGAGTCACGTTCAATCAACGAAACCTTACTACTTTGTGTTTTTTTGTTTAATTGGGACAATGAATTGGGAGGACACAGTGGCCCTNACGTTCAATCAACGAAACCTTACTACTTTGTGTTTTTTTGTTTAATTGGGACAATGAATTGGGAGGACACAGTGGCCCTCAGTTTGATTGATTAGAGGGAGAAAGAGACAAGGGTACTGAACAGACAAAGCGGATAGGGTCCTACTCTTCTCCAGCCTGTCCCACTGTGAGAACTCCGAGTTTGGAGCTATGTCTGGCATCTGAACTTACCCCGTACTCTCCAATGCTGGAGAGCACCCGAGAGGCGGTTTGCTTTTGAAAGGTCCGATGGTCTTACCAAAATCCTCGAACTGACGGGGGAAGGATCATCACTCAAGCCTTAGCCCACAATCATTCAGAAATGAAAAGGGGGGAAGGGCTCTGAGAGGGTAAAGGCTACAAACTTGAAACAGTGAACGCTGAGTGATTAGTGCACAACTTTCTCTCCTGTCGGATGGGAAAGAGGGAAGTTACACGGAGGAAAGTGGCATATCTTTTAGTCAAATTTCTTCTTGACGGGGACTAATGAAAATGCTCGTCGGACGAAAGTGCTCGTCTGACATTCAATTCTAATTATTCGAGTAAAGTTCTCTGTGGGAATGCAACGAGTCAGCAAAAATCGTGAAAATTAAAACCTCTTAGTTCATCTGCCGTAATTCTTACACTAGGGCTGTTACTTAACCCGATGATGCCTGCAAGAGGGACTGCCTACAGCAGTGGACATGGTGCTTTAACTGATAGTACCCAGAACTCGGTGTCAATCAGCAAATACTATTGGACGGCAAAGTCACCCTGGCCCTGATGAACATGCCTTGCCTGCAGCAGTGGACATGGTGCTTTAACTGATAGTACCCAGAACTCCGTGTCAATCAGCAAATACTATTGGACGGCAAAGTCACCCTGGCCCTGATGAACACGCCTTGCCTCGTCTGTTCGCATAGAGGATGCTCGATCTGATTTGTAATCATAAACTAAACGGACTGGGAGCAGGAGACTGCCATGTAGTGTTGTCACCCTGCTCAGGGGTTGCAGTCACTCCTAGCAACGGGTAATCAGACACTCCGCTGTCGTGGAGTTTCGAGTAGCACCCTGGTGTCCGGACGCATCAACCCCAACAGGTCTCAGTCGGCCACCCCGAATTCAGTGTCGTATATAGTGGCAACAAAGGCAGATGACACCTTGCAAACATAAAACGTTTCTTTGGAAGACCTGAGTTAGCAAATTAGTTCCAAACCTGCTGCATGGCTTAAGGTGAACATCAGCAGTCGTTCTCTCATTCAAGTTAGGCTTTGGGTAAACAGTGTCCGCTTCAGTGACTTCTGGTTTGCAGAATCATCATTCATAGAGCCGTTGGATAAATGTTCCACCCCCGTTAATTAGAGGGGGAGTAGTGCAGCTTGGTCCCATCCCATGAAAATAGCCCTAGGAACAAGGGAAGCAGTCAATGCCCGGCGTGCATAGACCGGAGCGACACCTACTTACACGTCGGGTCTCGCGTCTGCGTTTGGTCAGCAGTGCTATGCGACCTGCACCGAGGTACCGGGCCCAAGTCCAGGGGTGGTCCTTCCGCCCTGAGTGTGGATCTCACCAAGGCCGTCTGCAGTCATTTCTGACTGTTGCCTGGGTCTTGGAGTGTGAGGGAAATCATGAGGGGAGATGAAATCCTAGCGATGAAATGCGAGATAATTTTGGAAAAGCATGGAAAGTGGGAGGACGAGGCCATTCTGAGTATGGAGTGTCAGAAAATGGTCTTGAGACAGAGTGCAACCCAGAGGATTAAGAAAGAAAAATTAATTGAGCGTGTGTTCTACTTTCGTGATCAGAATGGCAAGTTGCACAATTCCGCCTCGTGGCTAGAATCGGTGGAGTAAGCCAGGGCAAGGCTCAGGTGAGCGCAAAGATACCCAAACTTCCCCCTCATCACTTTACTATTAAGCGATCAGCAATCAACAGTTCCCTTGCAAGGAAGATGAGCAATAGCGAACTTCAGCAATCAAACAGCATCATACATACGAGTCCAGATAGTCTTGACCTCTAACCAACAGCAGAATTGCATCACGAGATTCACCAAATAAGAACACACCGAGAGTTCACAATTGACAATGCTGAAATAGTCCCATCATCATCAACGAAGAACCAGAGTTCATATCCTATCTAGCGCTCGGCGCCCAGACTACATGTGGCAGGTCCTATCTAGCCTATACTACGAAGCCAAAAGATGACGTCAACAACATTCCCGAAGTACGAGCATATGGCGGCCAATGTCGCACGCTTCCAGCACCAGGTATGTCTCGCGCTACACTCACAACCTCGTTCCCCAACTCACAGATGCCACTAGCACCCAAGGACCACCCTGCGCCTCACCCAGCTTACAGCAGCGCAGCTCGGCTATGGCTGCGTGCTCCTTCCCTGCTCGCCCGTGAGAGTGTAGGCGCCAGCCAGCAAATAGCGCAGCAGCAGCGCTTGCGCAGCATGCAGCCAGCACCTGAATGCCGAATGAGGAGGCAGGCCCTTTCCTATATCGAAGTGGCCTGCCTGCGTCCTGTCCCAGGAAGCTTCCAGTAGGCCCCGGTAGCCTGAGGTCCAGCACGACGAAAGCAGGCCTTGGGCCTGAAGTTGTTGCATGTGCCCAACTGCCTTCGGCCTGTGTTTGGCCCGGTACCCGTATCCAGCCCAGGGCCTGCTTCACATACATTCACACAGGCGGCCCAGGGCCTGGGTTCACTCAACCAACTGGCGCTGCGCAACTGCCTGAATTTCCCTGAGTTGCGTGGTGGCCAGAAAAGGGCCCTGAGGGCCTTGTCGAGCCTGCCTTCACTTAGGGTGGCCGACGGGCTGCAAAATGGGGCCTTATGGGGCTCATAGAGGCACTGGCCTCGCATTCCCTCCTCCTTAGCTTCAACAGTCCTCTAAGAAGCTCAATCTTCGATCATAGGGCGCTTTCCCTTCTGCAGAGATCTCTCGTATTGGGTTACAACTTGAGGAGCGGTCTGCATGAGCTCTTCCCTGGTGAACCAGGGGTCCTCCTTTGGATCAGTGTGATGCTGGAACCGAACGTCCCCTGCCTGCTGGTCTTGATACCGGCATCTCTCTGTGATCCACAATATCATCGATGTCCACCTCTCCATCCATGGTTGGGGGAAGCATTGAGCGACGAGATGGAAACTGATCAGTATCTTTGAAAGGTGCCAGCTTGGAGGCGTGAAAGACAGGGTAAGTACGGAGATGACCAGGGATCCGGATAACATAAGATGGCCCATCCGGATCTGTCCCAACGATATCCAAGACTTCCCAGGGTCCAAAGTACTGGGGCATGAGTTTGCGGGAGATCCCGTGCTCCTGTCCCAGTTCTGACGACTTAACCCAGACCCTATCCCCAACCTGAAATGTAGAAGGCCGGCGGTGTCTATTTTCAGACTCTATCATTGCAGCCTGCGCCTTCTGCATCTGTTCTACAGCCTGCTGCATCTTTTGTTCATAGCGGTAAGCAAATTCCAAAGAAGAAAATCTAGGGGCAGTCTAGGCTTGAATGTTAGCAGTAAGCTGTTTGGGCTCACCCCGGTGGCGCTATGTACAGCGTTGTTGTACAAGCTGGCGCTGAGAGCAAGCTTCTCATCCCAGTCCACCTGGTTGGGCTTGATGTAATGCCTCAATAGGTGTTGTACAGCGCGGTTCAGTTGCTCAGCCTGACCGTTGGCCTCTGGGTGATTCCGAGAAGTCATCTGCAACTGAGTTCCCTGCTTTGCAGCAGCGGCCTTCCACAACTCACTGGTGAACCGGACATCCCTGTCACTAATAATAGGCTTCGGCAAACCAAAGTCCCTGACCCAGTTCTCTTTAAACATTCTGATCACATACTCCATTCTGGCTGTTTCCGGCATTGCCACTAATCTAGCATACTTGCTAAATCTATCCATGATGACGAAGATGTGTCGCATCCCACTCTTGCTGGTGATCTGACAATGAAGTCCATGGACAGACTCTCACCAGCCCGTTCCGGAATCGGAAGGGGCTTAAGGAGCCCAAGAGGAGCTTGAGTACGGGGCTTGTCTCTTTGACATACCTGAGAAGTCTCCACGTACAGCTGGGAGTCTCGCATCATCGTGGGCCACCAGAACCGCTGCAGCGGATTGGCTGCGGTCTTCTTGTACCCAAAATGGCCGGTGGCATCATGGCACTCACCTAAAAACAAACTACGCAAAGACTCGCTACTTGGGAGACACAATCGTTTATTCCCGTCCTTCTCAAGGAACAGCAAGCCATTGACCAACTCAAACTCGGCAGAGGTCTTCTTGTCCTTTGCCTGGAGTCTGCGTATGATCTCGGACATAAACTGGTCCTCGTGATAGGCTTCCACCAAGGACTGAGTAACATGGTCCGTTAGATTAAACTCAATAATCAGCGGACCTGAGAAACCAGGTCTACGCGACAAGGCATACGCAACCTTGTTGTACTCCCCTTTCAGATACTGAGGGTCAAAGTCATACTGTTCAGTGACTCGATCCAACGCTTGAGGGCGTCAGAAAGTACAGGCTGGGTTCTCATCCATCTCAGGGTCTGATGATCAGTCCTGAGGATGAAGAATCTCCCAAGGAGATAGTGTCTCCAATGGGTCAGAGCCTTGTAAACCGCATAGAGTTCCTTCTCATAGGTGGACTTAGCCAACTTCTGAGACGGCATTTTCTTGGACATGYACTCTACAGGCCTCAACTTTGGCCCCTCCTGCTGCGCGAGCACGGTGCCAATGCCATATTGGCTGGCATCCGTGGTGACTATGAATGGCTTGTCAGGATAAGGAAGTTTCAAGACCTCGTAGTGCGTCAACGCATGCTTCAAATGTCTGAAAGCAGCCTCGCACTCATCTGTCCATTCCCACAGGGTGTCAAGGCGGGTCAGATCAGTCAAAGGAGCGACCACTATCCTATAGTTCTTAACGAAAGTCCTATAGTAGCCTGTCATTCCTAAGAAAGATCTCATCTCAGTTACAGACTGAGGACGTGGCCAATGACGAATGCTGGCTACCTTCGCGTCATCGGGCTTCAACCCTTCCGTGGAAAACTTATGACCCAAGTACAAGACACGGGTGCGGCCAAACTCGCACTTCTCATCTTGAACTTGTGCTGTCGCAGGAGACTGAGGACCTTGTCCAAATGTGCAACATGCTCCTCGACGGTCTTACTAAAAATAAGTATGTCATCGAGGCACACGATGACGAACTTATCCAAGTAGTCATGGAATATCCGATTCATAGCGTACTGAAAGGTGCCAGGAGCATTGCAAAGGCCGAAAGGCATCACCACAAACTCGTACAGACCGTACCTGGTCTGAAAGGCGGTTTTGTGTTGATCCTCGGGCCGAATTGCAATTTGATGGTACCCGGACTTCAGATCTATCTTACTGAAGTACCGACACCCTTGCACTCTATCTAACAGATCATCGATGCGCGGTAGGGGCTCTCTATTCTTTACAGTGATGGCATTGAGGCCCCTATAATCAATGCACATCCTAAGAGTACCCCCCTCCTTCGTAGGTACGAATAGAACTGGAGACCCATAAGGAGAGACACTTGGCTGGTTCCAACCCTTCTCTACGAGTTCCTTGAGTTGGCGGCGAAGCTCATCAAGCTCGCCTGGAGACATCTGATAGATCTTACCCTTCGGAATACTAGACCCTGGGATAATCTCTATCGCGTGGACGACCTCCCTCTCAACAACCCCTGTCGGCTCTTCAAATAGATCAGGGTACTTAGCAACTACTCCCTCTATCTCCGGCGGCATTTTCACCGGCTCGCCTGCAGCAGAGACATAAACTAAATACATACGCTCCTCCTGATTTTGCTTATAATAATATTGTCGAACGCGACCGCACACATGCACCCAGAGGACTCAATCAGACTACTAGCTTTGAACTTATGTAATCTGGCGGTCCCCTCCACCTGGCAAAGTGTGTTTGACCACTTTTCGGTCCCAATCAAACTGGGGCTGTGCTACAGAGAGGTAGTAAATACCTAGTAACATATCCGTTGGGAGCTCGTCACTTACTAGGAACGAGACACGATGTCTCCAGACCCCTCCCGCGTACGGGAAACAAAACTCAACATCTTGGAGGTAGTCGTTGACTACCATGCGCTGTTTGTTGGCACGGGTCGACTCCACAGGTCGACTCAGGTGCTACACTCGCCCCTGTAAACGCAGCCTCTCAACTCACGCGCGACTGATAAAGTTCCTAGTCGAGCAAGTGTCATAATAGGCCCCGGCCTTGCGGTCGCCAATGACTACCTCGCTGATGAACATCTCACCCTTCGGGGCTTTGACTAGTGTCGTCCAAGAAGCTAGCGGGTCTGATCTAGACCACTCCACCTCTAGCTCCTCTAAGGACTGAAACACATTCATCGAACAGAGGCTCGATGGGTCTGAATGTGCTTGCGGGACGACGCTGGAGTCAGTAGCTTGGGCCATCTCTCGAAATGCTGAGGGTGTCTCCACCACCTCGACCATAGCAGGAACAACTACTATTCCTACTGGCCCGACGTGTTTCCCGGAGCACTGCCTGATGTACTGGCAACGTTGCTACCAACGGGGTGAGAGGATCCCAACACCTGCCCCATCGTAGGCAGGATCTTTTCGGTTACCTTCTTGTTGCGAGGCAGTGGGACAGGCTTCCTAAACTTATAGAGCGGCCTGCCCCCTGCCAGAGTTATTCCCTTAAAACAAAACAGGAGGAGGGTTGAACCACCTAAACTTATAGAGCGGTTCAGACCTCCTCGTTCAGAACCAAAGAAACTGAGAGAACCGCAAGTAAAACGAGGCAACCCAAGGTACCTAAACTTATAGACCGCCTTGGGTCTCCGAAAGTCACTCACAATCAAACCCTCACAAATCAGAGCAGCCAGGACACCTAAACTTATAGAGCGTCCTGACCCTCCATGCAACTCGCAGCACCAGGTCTCCCCAAACTTATGGGGACATCCCAGCCTCCAGAGCTTCAGGCTACCTAAACTTATAGAGCGGCCTAAGGCTCCATGCAATCCAAAAATAAACAAAGCGCTGGGCTTCCCCAAACTTGTGGGGACCTCCCAGCCTCAATGACCCAACCAGACTACATACAATACTACCTTTCTCCCAACCTTCCCCCAGACGCAACCCATTTCATTCGCAATCTGCTTTCAGGCAATCAACGAACTGAAGCTGAGATTACACATACATTCTTTTACTTCAATCTGACTTATGTCATGAAGCCAAACTCAAAACCAAGTACAGGATCCACACAATACACTCAGTCAAACGTAGAGGGATGTACAGGTAGGGGTTATGGTTGGGTCTATAAAAGGAGTCAAAGGATTACCACTCAGTTCTCTGCCTCCAGGACTCCGCTTGAGTCCCGGCAGAGCTCCTGCAATTGGTGGGGCAACCTCCCACAAAGGCCTTGGCGCGGGTTACGGGCCACATGCCCGCCTGCCGCCTTCCTCTCAGAATCAGAGGACTAGACTTAGAGGGAGAAGGGCAGAAAGAGAAGGTTTGAGTCTCACAGATTCAAGAAAGATGCGCTCAGACTCGCTCGAGAGGGCCTTCAAATCTCGATGCGCCTGAGGGCCCCGCAATGGTGGCCAGATAGACGCAGCAACTCGGCCTGGTCAGAACTCAAACGCCGAAGTCAAACTCTCTGACGCCTTCCCGAACAACAACAATGACCTCTTTTCGGCCGTGACATCGTGGGTTGTGATAGCCAGCAGTCGCCGCGGCGGTATACACTAGTACGCCGCGGTCAACGGGAGTAGTCGCTCGCACACAATTCCCAGTCGCCGCCGTAACACACAGCTGCAGTCCGCATCAGCCCCGGGAGGTGCAGCGAGCACAGCAACACCACGACTGTATAGTAATCCGCACAGTCTTCCCTGCGACTGCACAATCTTCGGCAGCAACAGCTGCAGCAGCCTGAAGGGGCGACAGTCCCGCCCCAGGGCTTGACCAGCGGCTGCAGTTGACAGAGATGGAAGTGAGGTATCCGATTTACTAAGTCGTGCAGGCTGTCCAGTTAGCCGCGTGCCAAGTAGCGAGTACACTGGATCACAATAGCCCCCAAATTCGGTGCAATACAGTGGACTCGGATGCCAACTTTGGATGCTCCCCAGCCATTCTAGCACCGTATCCGCAGTCACCCCTACCACTTGGCGCCCAGCACTTAGCCAAGAACGGGTAGACTGCTACTCCCGTTGTCGGCCTTTCACAGATAGAAAGGGATACGGTCGACTTCGAGCTGCCCCTCCTAACAACCCAACTCAGCCAGCCACCTCCTGTCCGGTTCTCCTTCGATCTGAGTCCCCTACCGAATCCTCAACGACTCAGACTCAAAACCCCCTCAGATCTGCACCGAACGACTTCCACTCGGCAACGAGCGGGCGCGAGCGCCTCAATCAGCCAAAGCACCGTCCGCCGCACCCATCGCCTAGTCTCCCTCGTCGCTAGCCAGCTCACGTCGTTCCATGCCGGTGAGGCACGCGGCCGTAGCCGATCCCCATAACTAACCAACTGTGCAAGAATGAGAATGAATCCTCCGCTAAAACACGGAAATATACATCCAGATCGAAACGAGGAGCAAAGCCAATCGGGGGATAGCTATAAGCGGGATGCAAGTGGTGATTATGACGCGAGCAGCGGATTGAGGCGACCAACACGACTTCCCTAATGGGCACAATCGCGGGGCTGAGCCGAAACATGCAGTACCGGAGCTCACTTCGCTAGCACCTTATAATGGGTGGAATGAATCCCTCGTTAAACATCGGGAGGTACACCGTTGTTTGACCATGTACACAGAGGGACTGAAAACAAACTACTTGCATCGAGGGGATGGGCACCACACCGGGCAACAGGTAAGTCTCCGACCTGCGACTGACCTTACGCCACCCTCGTCGCTCGGAACGAGCAAAAATCGAATGAATCTATCGCCGGAACCTTCCTCGATGCATGCGCATCGTTGCCCTGTCGCTCATCCGCCTTCACACCGCGCAGCTCCCGACACTGATACCGACTAACCTACTAACCTATCGCCAAAACTAACGTCGCCATCATGTTCACAACGCCTTGAAACTCCGAATTTACACCCTCCCTCGCCCGTTTTCATCAAGAAATGGGCGAGTTATCTCCTTCCTCGCCCGCCATTCCAACTTGCCAAAGCCTTCGCGCACCCGCTCCTTCGCTAACTCCCTCCACACCAACTCTCTTGCTGATCCAACCGCAGAATCGGGGTCGTGAGCGCCGAAACCTCGATCTAGCACTTTTTCCTTGGCCCTTTTTCACCACCTCACAGGCGGGTTACCGCGTTCTTGCGTCGTCCCGACTCATCTCTCACCTCCCCGACACCTCCGTCATCTGCGTCGTGGTGACGTCTCTCAAAACTGCGCACTTCGCTTGCGAATGCACAGCGTTCAGTCGTGGCCCGACTTGTCGAAAGGAGACAGAGCCAAATGCTCGAATCGGCAGTTCCCCTCCGACTTATACCCACTGGCCTAGGCAACAGCTGCGCGGGCTTCCGCGAATGCCCCAAAGGACTCCAGCCGGGGCAGGCTCCCGCAGGCTTTCCACGATTCGCCCCCTTATGCGAACGTGGCCTCCCCTTGAGGCCAGGTTCAGGAAGGTGCCCCCGCCCTTTTCCCCAATTTTTCGATCTCGTCCTTGTGCAGGGACCATGCCAATCTTCTTTATGTCGTTCCAATTTTAACCGAAGTCCCGAAGGACTCGTGCCGCGCGACGCTCTTCGGCGCGGCTATTTGGTCACACCACCCTCTCCTCTTAGCCCGATCCCCGTCCGGGTTCATCCCCGGACCTCCCCTTGTTTTTCCCCTCATTGACTTCGCGGATCTCCCCCATCTCACTCAGATCTTCCCCCGCGGCTTTTTGGGGATCGCGCGGCCGAAGGCCGCCCCACCCCTATGCATGCACCTGCCCTGCACCCCGTCCGCGTTCTCTCTCGGATCTCCCCTCGGCGACCACGCAGATTTCCTCTGCCTCGCTTGAATTCTTTCCAAGGGGGATCTGTCTCAGTAGCGCCCCCATCCACTTAACTCCCTCCCACATGAACCCGGCCTCTCCTCTTGGGTCTATTCACGTGAGCCTTGCACATGGGAGCCCTGCACGTGGGCTAGGCAAATCTTCTCTATGTCCCTCCCAGATCTCCCTAGTGGCCTCGTCAGCAAGTTGGCCAGCCCAGGCGAAGCTTCGACCTTTCAATTTCGGCCCCTCGGCCCCCATCATCCGAGTCGAGCGGGGTCTACGGTCCCGCAGTATATAGGTATACCCAACGAATCGGACTGCCAGCCCCAAGGCGCGGTCAACCGCCCCTCAACGGCTCCATCCTACGCAGGAAAAACTGGAATGGCCTCCGAAACAAAGAAAGGGGATACTTGGACGGGAAAACGAGCCGCAGGCCCTGCCAATCCTCCTAAAGCCTTGCAGCGCGGACCTGCGGCCGGGCTCCCTCGCCAAAAACCAAAAAAAAGAGAAAGGTGGATAGTCCCGTGGGACCCTCAACCCCTTTTCCTCTCGCCGCTCCATTGCTCCTGCGTCGTCTTCCGCCGGACTCGAACCTCGTACCTCCGCCATGCAAATCCAGTGCCGTAACCTATAGGGCTAAGCCCAAGCCTGTGACTAGCAGGCGAGGTTTCCCATATAAACTGGCACCGCGCGGCGCTCTGGACCAGGATACCGCCCCGGCCACTCTTTCAGCCCACATTTGCACACACGGCCCCCGGGCGTCCGCATTGGCCTACCATCCTGCGACATTGCCATCCCGCGCGCCAGCCTGCGCGCCACCACCGGTCGCACGCGCCAGTCAAAGCGAGCTTTCGCCTCCTAATCAAACCAGTCACCCGCTCCGGGTCGGTCGGCTACCCTGGCCCCCACTCAATCAAAAACATCACACGCGTGCCTTAAAAGTTGCACGCTCACGTACTCCCTACCGGGACAAGGCAGCCCTCTGCCCACCTGCCAACGACCCTCACATTTCCCCGCGCGGGCACTTCAAACTCCAGGTTAACCGAGCCTTTCTGTCACTTGCAAAAAACCAGGGCGGATACCCTTGTAAGGGTATTCGCGCCGACAACGTTCCTCCAGCCAGCGCTCCAGCAGTGTGTTGCCATACTTGCACACCGAAGAATGAGAGGCTGGGCTCTCCGCTCAGCCTCAAGATATAGTAGCACACTTGCCTCCTAGGTGGTGACTTCCAGGCCACTGGACCTCCCAAGCAACCAGTACCTCCTCCCTTTCGGAGGGAAACATCATTGCAAACTCAGATATTGCCCGTACAGGCCCTAGACTTAAACTAGATGGACTGGTACCCACCTGGACCTACCCTACCGCTACCGGGCCTTTAAAAATGCTAACTTTGTCTGTTCGGCCTCGAGTACCCGGCACATCTACTTCTACTGGGTGTCGTACCGGCCTACCTGCTACTTGAGTGTTTTTTCGTTGCTCTAGGTGTCGTGGGCCTCTTGCTCCGCCACTTGAGTGTTTTCCCTGCTGGAACCCTCAATGTCACGGCCACGGATAAGTTCTGGCCCTGCAGGCCTCCCAAACAAGCTTGTACCTTTGCAGGTCGCACACACACTCATGCGGACAAGCACTCAGACAGGCACGTAGGTTACCAAGCACGCGCACACACACAGACCATCAGCAGAACAAAAAAAATCAGTATTGTTGCCAGTCTACCCTTACAAGGGTATCCGCCCTGGCTTTCTGATTACGTGGTAGACTAGAAATAGACAGTGTGTTGGCGCGCAGACTTAAGGCGCGCGTGATCTCTTTTCTTGTTGATGACTGTGAGGCCGGCGTGGTTGCCAACTTGCCACCCAAGTTCTTATTTTCTTATTAAATTAAGGATTCAATAATATTTTCCTTTGACTGGTGCGCTTGACCATGGCATGTGCGTATGTGTGGAGGGCAACGTCGATGGCGGCATGACTTTGTGCAATGAGCAAAGTGAACGGAAGGGTAAAAATGGGAAGACAAGAGACGCACGGCAGGCGCGGGGCTTGGCGGCTGTGGACTAGTTGATAGGCCGAGGTGTGACTGTGGAACGACTAGAGTAAACGCGGGCGGTGTGTGGTAACCGTCTATATAGATGTCCGCTAGTGCTAGACCCAGCCTTGGGCCTAGCACGATTGGTTACGGTATCAGACTTCCACTCGAGAGATTCATGGATCGAGGCCAGTGGCAGCAGCGTAGGTGTGACTGTGGAACGATTAGAGTAGACGCGCGCGGTGTGTGGTAACTGTCTTTATAGATGTCCGCTAGTGCTAGACTCAGCCTTGGGCCTAGCACGATTGGTTACGGTATCGGACTTCCACTCGAGAGATTCATAGATTGAGGCCAGCGGAGGCAGGGTAAGAGTATCTGAGTGGCGAGGAGGAGCCTAGGGGTTGAGGGTGTGGCAGGGCTATCGCCCTTGGTTTTTGCCGACAGTGGAGTTGGAATGGTGCTAGCAATTTCCTTTACTCGTCCGTTGTTTTCCAACATTAAATTTTTCTAAATATTTTATTATTTATCATCGTTATTGTTATTTTTATGTTTCGGCGTTATTTGAATCAAGGAGTGATGCCGAATTTAGGGGCCATCACGACAGTCGAGGACCTTGAGCACGCGCCTTCTTTGGTGGGCCACTTGGATTCTTGCGTGTTCAGAATGATGGCAAATTTTATTTACCCTGCCCATCTTGAAACGCGGATGAGGAATTCAACGTGCATGCGAGCCAATGGGTGTTTAGCCCTTAAGGCGGAAGAAACCTGGGTGGCGGGGACCCTTTGAGGGATGTACCGCCCACCAGCCGCGAGTCCGTTGTGAGAGGTTTGAGTGTGCGTATGCCCACTAAGACCCGAAAGAAGCGGACTGTGCCTGGGCGGGCCGGTCCAAAGCTTCGTGGATGAGTCCGCGGCGATATAGTTTGCCCGGACTGTGCACGTGGGACCCTCCTCCACTTTGGTCTTCAAAATTCCCAGTTGAATATTTGTTGCTACTGCTAAGATTTGCATTGGGCCTATTTCATCTAGGCCCACACTTTAGGTCCTTCACTAGGCTGTGCCCTCCCACTCTGTGAGGAGCCAGAGCATCCGAATGCATTCTAGCGCCACCTGCTGTTCAGGGTAACAGATTCGGCACGTGAGCTTGTTACACACTCCTCAGGGGTCTCCGACTCCCTTTGTGGCGCCTGGATTAGCACGCAGTTTCGGCACTAGCGGGCGCCACGAAACGCTGTGGTAAAGGCCGCAACCGTACTTACACGTGGATCATTCGCCGGACCTGAGTATAGGGGTGAAAGACTATTCGGATCGTCTAGCAGTAGGTTCCTTTGAAACTCCCTTAGGAGATCCGATACTGATGAATGGCTTACCAGTTGTTGCGGGTCTGTTGTGAGAGGTTTGAGTGTGTGTATGTCCGCTGAAACCCGAAAGAAGTGGACTGTGCCCGGGCGATGCGGTCCCAAGCTTCGTGGATGAGTCCGCGGCGATACAGTCTGCCCGGACTGTGCATGTGGGACCCTCCACTTTGGTCTTTAAAATTCCCTGTTGAATATTTGTTGCTACTGCGAAGATTTGCACTGGCCTATTTCATCTAGGCCCACGCTTTAGGCCCTGCACTAGGCCGCACCCTCCCACTCTGTAAGTAGCCAGAGTCAACATCTGAATGCACTCTAGCGCCACCCGCTGTTCAGGGTAACAGATTCGGCACGTGAGCTTGTTACACACTCCTCAGGGGTCTCCGACTCCCTTTGTGGCGCCTGGATTACCACGCAGTTTCGGCACTAGCGGGCGCCACGAAACGTTGTGGTAAAGGCCGCAACCGTACTGACACATGGATCATTCGTCGGACCTGAGTATAGGGGTGAAAGACTTTTCGGATCGTCTAGCAGTAGGTTCCTTCGAAACTCCCTTAGGAGATCCGGTGTCGGGGCAAAACCCCTGACAAGGGTATTTGCCGGGGATTTTGAACGTCGGACGATGTCCAACTTTTTTCTTGAATTGAAGGACTTGATAAGACTGACATTGCCAAAGTTATTCTGACATGACCTACGACTGGAAGATTAGAAGTTTTCGAATTTTTGTCTGGGCGCGTCTGGCGTCCAGAAGAAGCGGATGTGAATGACAAGGTCTCATTTGTCGCTTGCATAGAGACGCGAGGAGATGGGAACGTTAAAGTAAACCTATTCTACCTATAATAACAGTCGCGCGATTCAGGGCCTAAGCAGGTTAAAAAGGGATCGCTGCGACAAGGGTGGGACCGCATCGTGAAGGAATAGTTTTAGGGTCCGCGGGGCTTTGCGCCAAGGACCGGGGCCAATGGCATTGAGGCCGGCAGGGTAGGGCAGCTGCTAAGGCTGTCGACCGCCGACCCCGCCTGCCAACCACGGTAGCAAGCAGGCGTAGCAGGCACAGCCTGCTGGGCGCTGGAAGGAGGCCTGCTGGGCACCGGAAGCCCTTCATATAGAAGGGTTGCTCCTTTCCTGATGTAAGAAGGAGCAAGCCCAGTAGGTACCTCTTCCAGACTATTGCCCTGCAGACACAGGGATCGAAGCTGACCAGCTGAAGTACCGGGCTAGCTCCTTTTGGGAGCACCCCACGACGTGAGGGTGGGCGTGGCCGATTTTCGGTCGTGCGATCTTCGAGATCGCGCAGCTGAAATAAGCCGCCCCGAGATTGCATGGCCCCTTGCACAAGGATGACACGTATAAATCGAGAAAAATAAATAAATAAATAAGAGCAAAAATAAAAATATAGATAAAGAAAAGTTGTAACAGCGCCACTTGACGCCAGAAGATGTGCCTGAGGGCACATAACAGTAACCGTTGGCATAAGCCAACGGTTTTATTATGACCGTAAAAAAAAAAGAAAAAAAAAAAGGGGAAGAAACGAACCGCGCTAGATGGCGCAATGAAGAATGACTGGGCCATTCAAGTCCGAGCGCATTGACTGTCGCCCGTGAAAACGGGCGACCGTTTTTCTGCCAGAAGTCAGCTCCTTCTTTTTTTTTTTTTTTTTTTTTTTTTTTTTTTTTTTTTTTTTTTTTTTTTTTTTTTTTTTTTTTTTTTTTTCAGTTATTTTTCTTTAGATTCTTTTTTAGCTTTTGTTCTTTTTGTTGTTGTTTTTTATTTTTCACGAAACTGGTAAATGCCCGTTCGTTTTTGCGAACGGGCTGCCACCTCGACAGAGGATAAAAATCGAGTGCATCTATTGCCACAAGGTGGCTACGTTCGGGCATGGGTCTTGTGACCTTGTTGTCAAGTTCTGAGGGACTCTCTGCACACGCTCAGGGTCATTTTCCAGTTTGTGAGGGTTGGCATGACGTTTTCTGGTGGCCAACGACGACGGTATCAGAGAGAGAGAGAAGGAGAGTTAGAGAGAGAGGGGGTAAGGGACTGTGCCAGACTGTTTCGTCGGACTTCCACCGACTCGTCAGACGAGCAAATCGAATGAATCTCCCGCCAGAACGCGGGAAAGTACATCCCAGAGACAGTGGCCAAGTCCACTGCTGTTGATGCGGCCACCATACTGTTCAGGTAAGTTTTTTTT